ATCTCTTAACTTTGCATCAACCTTTGACCTTACATAAATGTCTCCCTCATTTCTCTTAGAAATCTTTATGGTTTCCTGGTAAAAACAAATTATTATCTAATTGCAAAAACTCCTTCTAGTCTTTAAATGATCATTGTCTACCCACCTAATACTCAAAATATACTTTTAATGTATTATTTCTAGTGAATCTAATGGTTTGAGCTGAGATATAAATATTCAAATTTTGAATCATCTTTAACCATCACCGTGAAGTGGAGAGTCAATATACTTAAAGATTTTGCAATAACCAAACAGCATGAACTGTCATAAAAACAGATACATAAACCAATGGAAAGGAAAAGACAATACAGAAATAAATGCACACATTTATAACTAGCTGATTTTCCACAAAGGTGCCAAAAACACACAATTGGGGAAAGGACAGTGTCTTCATTAAATGGTGTTGAGACAATTTGATATTCACATACAGAAACATGAATTTAGATCTTTATCTCTCACTGTATCCAAAACATAAGTAGAAATATATTGAAGATTTAAATGTAAGACCTGAGACTATGAAACCATTAGAAGACCACATAGAGGAAATGCTTCAAGACCTTGCTCTTGGCAATGACTTTTGGGTAAGATCTCAAAAGCAAAGGCGATAATAGCAAAAGTTGACAAATAAGGCTAAGTCAAAACACAAAGCTTCAGCACAGCAGAGGAAACAGTCAACAGAGTGAAGAGAACCAACATATTGGGGAAAACACTTGACAACTGTACATCTGACAAGGAGTTTGTAATAAACAAGGAATTTGAACAATTCAACAACAAAGAATGAACAAGTGGGTTAGATAATGGACTGAAGGCCTGAATAGATAGTTCTCGAAGAAGACATACAAATGGCCAATATGTATATGAAAAAATGTACACATACAGCGATCGTCAGAAAAATGCATGTCAGAAGTACAATGAGATGTCACCCACTCCACTTACAATGACCATAATCAAAAAGAAAAGGTTAACTCCTACTATGGATATGGAGGAAAGGGAATGCTGACAAACGGTTGGTGGGTGTATTAGCCAGCTTTCCATCACTATAAAATATACCTGATATAATCAATTTATAAAAATAAAAGGTAGAGTTTGGCTAATACTTTTAGAGGTTCCAGTTCATGATCAGTTGCTATGGGACGTGACAAGCAGCACATCATGGCAGAAGTGTGAGCAGAGCAAAACTGGTTACTTCATGAGCCAGGGAGCAAAGAGGGGGAAAAGACAGTGGGGACCCACAGTCTCCTTTTTACATGATTTTTTTTAAAAAGCATTGTACTTTTATCTATCAGTTCAAAAAAGTCTTTTGTAAGCTCTTTATGATTTATTTTAAATTTTTTGAAATGATAAATGTCTGATATTTCTTTGTCATAAACACTAAAGAGTGACTTGGAATGCAAGATGCATCAATGAATTTTCATGTCGCAGAGTATGAAAAGTTTGCTCATAGACTTCATATTCCATGCTACCTATGTGACTTGTATACTTCTTGGATAGTATCAAAAAAATCAATTATCTGAATAGAATACCAAATCAAAGTATTTCTACATTATGCAATGCAATATAACAGCTTGAGAAAGAATTCTTTGAGAAATTTTAACTAAAAAAAAATCAGTCAACTGAACAAAATTTGAGAATCCAGTAGTATTCTGTTAAGCCAGATGCTGAAGAGATTTTCTTAAATGTAAAATGTTATTCTTTTCATTTTTTCTTAAATTTGTAAGAATAAAGTCTTTAAGCACAATTAATATTATGTTTAATGTAAATTTTAAACAAATTAATCAGTTTTAATTTTTGTGTTATTGTCCAAAATAGTAAATATCAGTAATTAAGACACACCTGACCAAAAACTCAGGCATGGGATAAGAGCACAAAGTGGTCCTGAGAACAGCAAGTTTGACACCTGCAGCCTAGTGAATCCCTGGATGCGTCCACACTACTGCCTTCCATTTAAACACTAAGCTCCTTCGCAAACCACCACTTAATTTCTCCTTTCCTTTTGGAGTTTCTGACAATCCTCAGCTCATTTGTAGAGCAGAGATAATTACTATGTTCTCTCCTTACTTCAATTAACGAGCAGAATTAAGTTTACTAGGTCTCTCCACCCCAGCTTTTCTTTGCTGATTTGTTCTTGATGCAGGAAACTTGTGTTCTGACCTTGACTTCTAATGTGCCACTCAGCAAACTTGTTTCAGCATCCACAATACATCCATAATATGTGGCTTTGAAATAATGAAGATCAATAAAACAAATCCCTGATCATGATGTGGTCCAACCAAGATCCTAACTTGCATATTCTTATACAACTTACTAAAAAATAAATGCTTACCAAATTACTACATTTCTATATTTTGCTGGACCTAGAAAAATTGTATAAACTTTATAGGATCTATTCTAACATAATCAAGACTATGCGTACTCCTCAGACAATATAAAGAAACAAAATGAAAATAATTCTTGTGTCTTTAACCCAAAAGTCATTCTTCAGGGAAATTCTTGCTCATGCCAAATTTTTTGCTATGACGGATAGGGTAACTGAATGTGTACCACTGGACAGTTCTCTGCCATGAGCAATATCAGAGTCACAGCACTTAGAGCCCCACCCCCAGTGTCAGAGCTAGAAAAATGCAAATTAAATTGTTCCTCACGTACCTGCTGACACTCCACTTACACATGGAATAGGTTCAGCCATGACTCTGGTCAGAAACCAGAGCGAGAAACACAGACTCTTATCAGAATAAACGAATATATATATATATATATAAATGCATTGAACAGCCTGGACTTGGAAACAAATAATTTAAAAATCACTTCTGACAACCAGAGGTAATTTACAACTTCTTTTTACAGAGTTATAGCAAACTAATTGAGCAGAAGAAAAAAATGCTTCATTGTATAGATTGAAAAATACAACCAATAATAATATGAAACCTTAGATCCCAACTACTGCTTTCAATATGCTTGGAGAAAACATTTGCTCTTAATTTTAGGAATGGCTGGAGTTTGCAAACTTAACTTGGTTTGCAATTTCAGCATTTTAGTTCACAGAGTTCCTGACACACTTTTTCAATGCAAAAAGGTTATCCTTTGAATTCTCCTTGGATACTTACATGACCTAAGTACAGTAAATATGTAACTTTTCACACTGATATCACTTGAGGTTAAAAGTAACCAGCACATTATCACCTTTAACAATGCACTTATAATTACTGTTCTCTAGTACATCATGCCTGCTTCAGAGATGGTGCTATTTAACACATGCATGCTGAGACAACCTTTGCTCATCTAGTAAGTAAATAAACAAGGCACAATAAATCTCCCAATGACCATTCATTCTCACTCTGAACTCAACTAAAAAACACCTATCGACATCATTTGTTTTATAGTTTACCAATTTCATTCATAATATGGAATGACAGATTTGCCTGCCTTCAATAAATATTTGGTTTTCAAACTAATCAAATCTCTTCATCTGAAAAATAATTGCAGAGAATTAAAGTAGACACAGGGGTTGGTTTTAGGAGAGGGATAATCCCAAATAAAAATAAAATTATATATAGATCATGATAAATCATGACCTGAACCAAACCGAACAGCTTCTATGTTTAGGATCTTTTAAAAAATATATAGGTAATAGAGGATTATTTGTCTACAAATACTTTCAGGGATATATATGTAAGATAAAATTGAATTCCACCTAGAAATAGTATCTAAGAAAGACGTCTGTTAGGAATTACATTTCTAATTATCTCTAATGTCCTCTAAGACATGAATATGCTACTCAGTTCATAGACTAGATACAACTACCTATGAAAAAATAATCTCAGGGACTTTAAACATAATAATAATAAATGAGCATTTAAAATGAAGAAAAGCCCTCATCTCCCACAAAACAGAAGAGAGCAAGAAAACAAACACACGAACCTCAATTTCACTAGCATGTTAAGTTTGGGTCACTGCCAAGTATCACAAACCACATTTGATACTTTGTGTTTTTGGCTGAGTGACAGGCACTAGAGCATCTGACAGGAGTGGAAAGGTAGAGAAAGAATTTAGAAGACGACTAATAAGGGCTTTCCAAGTTTAGGTATCAATTCTAGATGATGGTCAAAACAACACTGGAAGAGTTCAACTGAGAAAAACAAGTCCTGGAGGTATAACCTGGGTTTTCACAGGGAAGTGCACACTTAGATTTCTCTTGACTTAGGCTGTGAAATACCATTTCTTACCCACCAGCAATCCTAACAACATGCACCAACACCGTGACTTTACCCAAGACAGTTTTGTCTCAAGAAATAGCCTGTAACCTCTGATCATTTACATCACGTCACCTGCTTTAGTTTAGGAGGAAGGAGAAATGATTACACTGAGTCAGAAGATAGTGCTTAAAATGTGAGGCAGACAAAATCAAGTATCTTCTGAAACTTGGCTTAACACATTCAAATTACTCGTGTCTGTAAAGAATCTACCAAGTTGCTGAGCATGTGAAAGTTAATACTGTCCTGATGTAAACTGTCACTCCACTTCCACTTCCACCACCACTCACCTCAAATAGCCATGGTATCCTGCAGATTTCTGCCAAAACTCTTTACTTGGGAACAAAGATATCTAATTCTAAATATGCCCACCCTCCACAGAAAGGTATTTACATAAATTTGGTGATTCAGCCCACATAAATGGATTTACTTCCTCCTGGAAATGGCTAAAAATTTCTCTTCAGCTTCATACATGTGATTTCTAGGAGGTGAAGGATAAAGTGAGAAAGCCTTTACTACTACATTGTGACTAAGAATTAAAGCTACATTTTCTAAAATTCTTTGTTAGTGTTGTTTGAACATTTTATATGCTCTTATTTATAAATCATTAATAAAACTGAATGTAAACAATTATAGATGGCTAATAGAAAGGGAATACCATTTTTAAAAATCACATCAACAGCAAGTAATAAATGACTACAAAATCATTACCTCTGCTCTTTGTGTTCTGGGCAGGGCAGACGATTTTTCTATGGCATAAACATCCACCAGGTAAAGACATGCTCCCTGCTCCCGGTCCAGAATGGCTGCAGTCTGAATCATGCCAGTTTGTCGCCCAATTGTAAAGAGGCGTCCAACCGTTTTCTCTTCACAACGAACTGAAACAATGTAGTATTCCACTGGGGCCTCTGATCCCCTGGGGCTGGCTGCTTCTATTGAGATCACATTGGTGCCAATGGGCTCCCCTTCCTTCAAAATAGTTATGTATTTGGGTTGAGTAAACACAGGTCCATCAAGGCCCTGAAGAATGATGGTCAATTCAGTGGTTGATTTCCTTCTTTCAGGGCCAAGGTCCGTGGCAGAGACTATGAGATTGTAGATGAGCTGCGAGGGCACCAGTGCAGAAGCCACTCTCAAGTCTCCACTGTAACGATCCACAACAAATGTGCCTGTGTCCCCATTGACAATCTCATACTCCACCTCCCCATTAGCGCCTTCATCTGGGTCAGCAGCCATAATTGTTGTCAGAACGGAGCCAATCAAAGCAGAAGGGTCTGCAGCAAGGGCGTTTTGTGATATAAACATTGGGACATTGTCATTGAGGTCTGTAACTAAAATGGTCACATTTTTCAGCGCATACCGTCTCGTTTCTATGGGCACAGCTTGATCGTTGGCTTTTACCGTTAATTCAAAGAGATTAGCAAACTCTCGATCTATTTCAGCACTAGTGTATACAGTGCCTTTGATTTCATCTATGCTAAAGTGGTTGCCTCTTGGCATCTGTTGAACGATTGCATAGGTCAGCTGCCCATTAATGTCTGCATCCGGGTCGTGTGCAGTCACAGAAATGACAGAAGTACCAATGGGAATGTTCTCAACAATTGACTTGAAAATGTCTCCAGGAGGAAAGCTAGGAGCATTGTCATTGAAGTCTCTCACTTGTATCACCACTGACATTGTAGCTGAACGAGGAGGCCTTCCATGGTCTTTTGCTGTTATATTTAATTTATACAAAGACTGTGTTTCAAAGTCCAATTTTTTGGCAAGAAAAATACTCCCAGTATTGGGACTAATGCTAAAAGTTCCATGGTTGTTAGTCCCAGTAATACTGTAATGTAAATCAGCATTGTCACCTGAATCAGAATCAGTGGCAGTAACAGAGGACACGAGTTCACCAATTCTCATGTTTTCCAAAACATCGACAAATAGTGTTAACTTAGGGAAAGAAGGAGTATTGTCATTTTCATCTAAAATATCAATATTTAAGGTACAGGTTGAATTGAGGGAGATTGTTCCTGAATCTATTGCTTGAATTATAAGGGAATAGGCAGGTGTTGCTTCATAGTCTAATTTGCCAATTAGTGTTACCTGACCAGAGGTGCTGTCTACAGCAAACTGCCGTTCTTCATTCCCTTTGATTACAGAGTACTGAATAAGTCCATTATTGCCTTCATCAACATCTGAGGCAGACACTCTTAAAACCTGTGTCAGGTTGGCTGCTGTCTCTGATATTGTAGCTTGGTAAAAGTCTTTTAAAAATTTAGGAGCATTATCATTTATATCTTTCATGTACACATGGACAGTGGCCTGATCCTTGAGAGGCTGAGGGAGCCCTTGATCTGTTGCTATGACTATAAAGGTAAACACTGCAGTCCCTCTTCTCCTCATAAGAGACTCCCTGTCAAACTCATGAGTATTTCTAATTTCTCCAGTGATAGCATGCAACTCAAAATCTGGCTGCACCATTTCAAAAGAATACCTTACTTCTCCATTTGACCCAAAGTCTTTATCTATAGCACTTACTTTGCCCACAAATGACCCAGCTTTCTGCTCCTCTTCAAAGTAAAATGTATAATTTGTACTGTTAAAAAGGGGTCTGTTATCATTGACATCTTCTAAAATCACAGTGACGTTCACAGCAGCACTAAGGGGCTCCACAGCTCTGTCAGAAGCAACAACCAGCAAAACGTATCTGTCTTGCAATTCACGGTCCAGTTCACTTTTTATATACAATTGACCATCTGGGAATATGCCAAAAGCATCCCCAGTGTTTCCTTGTGCAATGGTGTATGCAATTTCTCCATTTGCTCCTGAATCCTTATCAGAAGCTTGCACTTTAAAGAATCGAGAATTCACAGGTTCTGACTCAGAGAGGGTGACCTCATAAGAAATCTGGTCAAACACTGGTGGGTTGTCATTTACATCATGGACATAAACTGTTAAGATGACACTAGAAGAGAGTTGTGGCACACCCATGTCACATGACAAGATCTCTATTTGGTAAGACCCAGAATGAACATCCAGGGGCCCTAGCAGGCTAATAGTACCATTCTTTTCATTGATAGCAAACAAGTTCTTGGGGTTTTGCTTCAGACTATAGAGTACCATACCATTGACACCTTCATCAGGGTCCACAGCTTTGGCTTGGAAAATGCTGTGACCTGCCTGCCAATTCTCCACCGCATTAACACTCTCTACTGCCTGAAGGAAATGTGGTGAGTTATCATTCAAATCCTTAACTGTGATGTTAACCACAGTGTCTCCAGTCACTGTGCCCCCACTGGCCACCACTTTCAGCTGATAAAAGGATTGCTCTTCTCTGTCAATCACACTTGCTGTAGTAAGCTGCCCTGTAGCCTGGTTGATAGCAAACATACCTTTCTGATCCCCAGAAGTAATGAGATAACTGATGTTGGAATTGAGATCCATGGTAGAAGCAGACACACTACCCACATGATATCCCAGGGCCACATTCTCAAAAACCACAAAGCTGTAGGCGGCCTGGCTGAACACAGGTGGATTATCCTGAGTGTCCAATACTGTGACAGTTACTATGGCCTGGCTGGGAGATTGTAAATTGCCACCATCAGTAGCCACTATTTGTAACTGGTATGCTGTTTTTTCTTCTCTATCCAGGGCCATTCTTGTAGAAATGACTCCACTTTGAGCATTGATCTGAAACCGAGACCTGTCCCCAGCTGATATACTATATTTGACAGTTCCATTGGGACCCAAGTCTGGGTCAGTGGCAGACACTGTGGTGACATAGCTCCCTCCAGGTTCATTCTCCTGAATATGAGCAAAGTATTGGACTGGGTAAAACACAGGATTATTGTCATTCACATCCAGAAGAGTCACATTTATGCGGGCTACTGCTGACTGGGGAGGAGAGCCCAGATCTGTGGCCAGAACCAGCAAGGAGTAGAAGGCATGCTCCTCCCTGTCCATGGAGGAGATGGTACTCAACCTCCCAGACACAGGATCTAGGCGGAAAGACCTCTGGTCACTCTCAGCCTCTTGTAGGGAGAAGCGTACTGTTCCATTATCACCCAGGTCCCCATCAGTTGCCCCAAGCACCAGGAGTTCTGTCCCTGGTGGGGCATTCTCAACCACAGACACATCATACCCTTCTGGCTGGGTGAATACTGGCTTCTCGTCATTCACATCCAGGAGAGTTACCACAAGCTGGGCATAGGAAACCTTGGGGTGAACTCCTTGGTCCCTGGCACTGATGTTCAGTACAATCTGGGAAGCAAGTTCACGGTCCAGGCCCTCAGCAGCCCCAGTGGTCACCAGGCCACTATGTTCACTGATACGGAACCACCCTAGTCCATTGCCAGAGACGATGCTGTAACGCAGATTTGCATTGAGACCAGAGTCACCATCAGTGGCAGACACCCCACTCACATAACTTCCTGGAGGCGCTTCCTCGCTCAGGTTCACTCTGTACACTTGCTGGGCAAAGACAGGAGGATGGTCATTGATGTCATTGACAAAAATCACCAGGCTTGCAACAGAAGAGCGGGCCCGGACCTCTGCGGCAGGGGGCGCCCCATAGTTATCAGAGACAGAAACCGTGAGATTATAGGAAGGGATGCGCTCCCTGTCCAGGGCGCTGGCCACTTTGATTAGGCTCAGGTTAGGGACTTTACTTCTCTGTACCTCAAAGTGGCGCTGCTCATTTCCCCCGAGAATTTGCACAGAGATGTTCCCGTTGGCCGCGGGGGAATCTGCGTCAGTTACGGTGAGCAATGCCACCACAGTGCCTGCTTGAGCGTTCTCATCCACTGAGGCATAGCGCGAGGTGGCCGGGAAGTAGCGAAACTTCACCACCGGGTCATTGTCATTCACGTCCAACAGCTGGATCAGCGCTTCCGCACGCCCAGTGAGAGAAGGCACGCCTCGGTCCATCGCCTGCACGGTCAGCGAGTACTGGCGCCGGGCCTCGAAGTCCAGGGGCTCCCTCACCGTGATAAGCCCGGTCTCTGCGTCCATTTGGAAGGGGGTCCCCTCGTCCTGCAGTCGATAACGTATTTCCGCGTTGGTGCCCTCGTCTGCGTCTGCCGCCGCCACCTGGAGGACACTGGAGCCCACAACCGCATCCTCAGGCACCCCCGCCTGGTAGTGGGAACTGCCAAAAACCGGGGGGTTGTCATTAATATCTTGCACAGTCACATTTACCTGAAGGTAGCCCCGCCGCTTCGGCTCGCCCTTGTCTTCCACCTCCACCAGGAGCTGGTACTGTGGCGTGACCTCGCGGTCCAGCCCGCCCTTGGACACCAGATGCAGGAACGCGCCCTCGCCGCTCGGGTTCAGGGTGATGTCCAGGCGGAAGCGGCCCGCCTCGTTGCCCCTGACGATGCGGTAGGAGCGGTGGTCCACACCGTTGGAGCCGATGTCCGAGTCGGTGGCTGTGTCCAAGATGACTTGACGCCCGCTGCTACTGTCCTCCTTGAAACTGACCACGATTGAGGGGTCTGGGAAGACGGGGGCGTTGTCATTGAGGTCCCGGACCAGCACTCGCACTTCGGTGGGGTAGGTTGGAGCACTGGAAAGGACCACCAGATTGATCACATCGCTGGGCAGGCTCTCGCGGTCGATGGTGGCGGTGGTGTACAGAGCTCCGGTGCTACTGTTTATGGCAAACAGGGCGTGGCTTTCGCTGAGCCGGTAGGTGAAGCCGGGTCGCGTCTGGATGGTGCCTACCAGAGTGCCGGGCGGTTGCTCTTCCAGCACCTGGAACACCTGGCGCTGCTCAGTCCCGTACACCCAGGCCGGCCTGGGCAGTAATGACAGCAGCCAAAAGACTCGAAGAAACTGAAATACTGATGGGGGTTGCAGTGACAGCCACTGGCGCCCAGGAGCCCTGTCTGCTGCCAAGTTCATGGTCCTGGCTTCCTGGAATGGTGCGATGAAGAGAAGAAGGGGTGAAGGACCCAGAATAATATTTACAGGGATTCAGCTCGATCTGAGAGACCTCTGCTATTTCAAAGGACCCCCAGTTCAACAAAAGGAAGACCCACGGGCAAAAGGCTCCAGGTAGCCAGGTGGACGCGTAGTGCAGGGGAGATGCTGAAATGAAAAGCGACAAAGCATTCCGCGGGGCACGCTTGTGAGCCAAGTTCGCAGGAAAGTTTTTCAGACCTCTTGTATTTTTCCCTTTACTTCGTTTTTAACCCAGAGTATGAGCCTTCTCGCTCTTGTGGAAGAGAGTTGGGAGAGGTGGCCCGTATTTAAGGTACATGAGGAATCAGGGATCTCTTCAGAAAGTTTAGAACTTACCCACAGCGGAGACCCAAGAGCGAAGAACAAACGTAGCTGGCGACCGAAAGCACAGCTGCGCCCTGGGGAGGGAGCGGTGGGAGACCAGGAGAATCGAATTCCTTTCCCGAAAGCTGAAGACGAGGAATTTCCTCGAGTCCCCACTCCTCAAGAACAAGGCTGCAACGCCCTACAACCGGCCTCCAGCAGTGGCCTCCGAGGCCCAGGCGGCGGCGTCTGCGCGCAGACAGTAGGGACTGCGTTCGGGCGCTCGCCTTGGCACTGAGGCTCCTGGACCCAAGACGCTAGTTCCGTCCCTTCCCTTCCATTGGCCACTGCCTCTGCTCCTGCTGCGCGCCCTTGGTCCAACACAGGCAGCAGCCAGCGCTCCTCGGCATCTTTTCACTTCTGCCAGGGCGCCTGCCCACCCATTATTTGTACATCCAAATCGAGCGTAGGTCCCCCTTTCTTCTCGGCCTCACGGGGGTCCGGCAGGAGCGGCGCGCGGTCCCAGCGTCCCCTCTCCTCACCATGCCAGGGAGTTCTTTCTCGGAGGGCTCTGATCCGAACCCACACTAGTGCGCCTCGCCCCAACCCTGCTTATCTTTGCTTTTATTGTCCCGTGTCAGTTTCACTTTGTAATCCACAGGCTTTTTGTTTGGGGCGGGTGGCTGGTCCCTCTTTCCCCGTTGCGGTGGAGGTGCAGACGGGGAGGTCTGCCCGGGCTGTGACGGTGCCCTCTGCAGCTCCGGACGGCGCCTGTCAGCGCTCTCCTCTGGGGTTGGGGCTGGAAGCTGGAGCGCGGTGCAACGCGAGCTCCGCGGGTCCCTCCCAGCCTCCGCGGTCCCTCACACTCCCACTCCCCGCCCCTTCCCTGCCGCGCGCGCAGACGCGCGCGCGCACACGCACACACACACACACACGCACCGGGAGAGGGTAGACCGTGAACTGGAGCAGGACTCAGAAACTTTACTCGCCACTCATTGATCCCCGAACTTTAGTTGGCGCGGACTCCACTTAGCTCCGGGTCCTGTCACCTACTGCCCCTCCCTCGCCCCAGTCCCATTGGGCGGGAGCAGCCGCAGCACCGCCTGGCCCTCCCCCGCCTCCGACTGGCTTCTTGGGATGCTCGTCACTCGGCTTCCCGAGGGCCGGAGGCGGTCGGAGTGGGGACCCAGCGAGGCCGTGGAGCTGAGAACCGGGCGGGTTGTGTGTGTGTGGGGGGGTGATCATTCCCCGATCTCTCTTCTCTTCTCTCCTCTCCCCCCCGCCTTTGGTTAAATCTTGGCCGGCGTCAGCGCAATACCACCAAAAGGCTGCCCGCAGAATAGATGGGGGTGGGGTCAGGTTTGCAAATAAATAACTTTAGTGGCAGGGTAGGTGGGGGAAGACCGTTACGTTGTTATGCTAGTAATAACTCAGGGGTAAGGGGGTCGAGATGAATAAAAGAAAGGCGAGGGGGGGCGGGGGGCAGGGGTCTGTTAAAGCGGGGAGGAAGGATTAAGCAAAGCCTGTCTGGGAATGCACCGCGCAGATTGGCGTTAACCGTTTCCTGCCCCTTTGCTTTCTATGCCAGAGAGAGCCTCCGAACAATGTGGTCCACAGAATCCAAGCCTAATCCCCCTACCCCTCCCCTGTGTACACAGCAGGCTCTGTGCAGTCCAGGGTGAGCTAAACCCTAAACCTGCACCCAATTGCCGCGCCGCCCCACCTTCCAGGTCAACAGGGACATCGAGGCCTGGTACCAACCACGCTTTAACTTCCCACGGAGAAAGAAGAGAGCCACGCGTTTACTGAGTGTTGTTTGTCTTCCCAACTGGATTCCAGGTGTCAATCCGCCAACCTTAGGGTTCCACCAAGAACAATGGCAGCCTTCTGGAAAGAGGGGGATCTTTTCCTGTTAAAGTTAGTTAGGAATTTTGATCCCTGGTGGAAATCCCTTCGACATTTTGTAGCAAAGAGAATTCTAATACAGCTTTTGTTTTGTTTGTTTTTTTGGGGGGAGGGGGAGGATGAGGGAGGAATAGATTTAAGAAATGGAAATAAATGAAATGAAGTTTAAATTTAATTTTCTAAAAATGCCCACATTGCACTGAGATGAACTCTCCTATTCACCGCAGTCATTTTTGTGATGGCGCGTGTTGCTTCTTTAAAAGGAAAAAATCAGGTCAGTAATTTTCCCCTTTAAGAGAAACAACTTACAAAATATGACTTTAAGCCAAACAATGCAAATATAGGGCATATGTCATACATTTTTGCCACAGGAACCCCTCCAAACTCAACTCTTTGCGCTAGGAGACAGTTCAGACATTAGTCAATACTGCCCTCTGCTGTCTCTAACTTTTACGTCTTCAGTCCTTGATTTTTTGAGTAAAATTAAAGGCAGAGACTGAGGATCTGATTACCAGGCTAATTCCTCTTTCTTGCCTAGGGATAGTGGCAAAGAAAAAGATCTTTAAGAATCTCCCAGTGTCTTTTATCTAATGTTAAAAAACAATCAATAGCAAAAGGGCAGTCTAATTCAAGCCCTGTGGATGTAGACAGCCTGTAACCCAAAACTGACACAGTGTATTGAAACCTGAATTCTAAAACTTTGACCAATTCCTTTGTTTACTGTAACATTCGCTTCTGCATATTCTTCTACTATAGTATAATGAGTGAATTAGAAACAGACAAGAAACTTAGATTTAACCATTTCTGTATTTTTCAGACTTGGAAACTATTGAAAGAATTAGACTGAAGTCTTTTTAAAAAGAAACATTTCAAAGCCTTTTCTCAAGTATTTTTATCTCTGCCAGCAAGTTACAATTTTAATACTATTATTTTTGGTGCAATTTGGCTAAAGATTTGTAGATTAAAGTCACTTGTTTTTATACAAATCATGGCTATTTTGTATGATTTAGGAGAGCATTTTCTTTTTTGTTTTGTTTTGTTTGCTAGTTCAGCGCAGATCAGATAGGAAGGAATACAAAGAAATCACTCAGGCTATTCTTGTAGATCATGAACTTTGTCCATTTGCGTGTTTGTTCCCAGTGTGTGGGATAATCTTCACATCTCAATTGTACTAAAGTAGCCTTATTCACAAGTGAATTTAACTTGGTGAAAATCATTTATTCTGTGAAATGGGGGCACTCAATCCATGTCATATGCATAGATTTCAAGTTTAAAAAACAATACATGGTAAAAATAAAGTAGTACGGAAATTCATATACACTTCAGTACATAAAATAACTTTTTGGACAATTCTAAGGGAAAATTATCAAACTTGATATAGGCCATTGTGGTACACACCTGTAATTTCAACTGTGCTGAAGGAGAGACCGTAAGATCTCCTGTTGGAGGCCACTCTGGAAAAAGTTAACAAAAGTATCCATCTCAAAAACAAAATAAAAACAAAAGGGCTGGAGGCATACCTAGCTCAATCGGTAGCACTCCTGCCACAAGTGCTGGACTTTGGTTTCAATCCCCAATACTGGAAAAAAAGTGATTTAGGCAATGGTGTATTACTTGAATCTGTAGCTTCCCAAGTTAACTACGTAAAGGAGTATTCTCATTGTAGGTAACATCAATACAGAATTATAATTATGCATATATAGGTCCATAATTTAAAGTAAGATACCATTTTTAATGAAAATGTTATTTTTTCTTTTTATTTTATTTATAAAAATTATATTTTATTTTCATTTTCTTTCTTAGATTTCAAGATTGTAGCAACATAACACATGATTAAAAAAAAATCCCTCCCAATAAAGTAAAGCAAAAGATGTACAGAGACCAGCACGCACATTCAATGAGAACAGGAAATCCACAAAATATGTCAATAGCAAATTTATGATGGAACATATTAACCAATGAATAGCACAAGGGTCATTTCTACTTATTTACTCGAATCATCTTTCAACAAACCCATATGAATGTAGTTTATTTTGTTTTTCTGCCAAAAGCTTAATTACTTATGAAAAGGGTTGTTTGGTTAGAATTTAGTAAAGATGACATTAGGTGTTTCTCAGGATCAAGCTGTTCACCAATTTCAGTAGGCTTTGGGGTGCATACTTTTATACCATGCACAAAAGGAAACAACACAGCTCATTTGAACATTAGAACATATTGAAACAATTAGTTTTATAATGATTTGCTATGCTAAACACACATTTCCATTATTATTTCATTCAATAGCTGAGTTTTTTGGTTTTGTTTTTTTTTTTTTCATGTTTTAGACTTTTGGTGAAGAAGGTTAAGTGGATCACACTTTTTTTTTTTTCTTTCTTTTTTTTTTTTTGGTGACACTGGGGTTTGAACTTAGGGCTTCATGCTAGTTAGGCACTGTTACTCTTTGAGCCTCTCCACCAGCCCCTGAATCACACTCTCTCTTTTTTTTAAAGTTGGTACTTTTTTTTTCTTTATTGTTGTGCTGGATGGGGGTACATTGTGGCATTTATAGAGGTTCTTACAATGTATCAAATATATCATACTTGAATTCATCCCCTACATAGCTCTCCTTTATCCCTGCCCCCAGTTCCTGGGACAGTCTCAACAGGTATCATTTTGCGTTTACATACATATGTACACATTTCTGCACTGTATTCATCCTCCTATCCCCTTTCACCGCAACATACCCCTTCCCACTGGTGCCAATCTTCCTCTCCCATCCT